ATCTCGTTGTTCACGTCTATTTGTCGTCCAGATTGGTCTGTGAGTTGCATTGTAATGCTTGTAATTTGATTCTCAGGTGTTATTGGATAGTAGATAATCTGTCGCGGAGTGATTTGCATGAGAGAACCCGGTGGGACTTCTGGTGAGAAACTGTAGATCGTTTGCCCGCGGTTGCCTTTTGACGTATAAGATCCAGATGCGATAGAGCAATTGATGAGTATTGTATTTACTTCTGTAATATCTACTGGTAGTTCTCCATCAAATGTCAAAGATTTATCTTCACCGGTGGTATAGTATAAAACTCTAGTAAAACCTAACATCTTTCCAAAACTTCTTTCTTCAAAGAGGACTTTCATATTTCTTTTCACTGTTATCCTAGCTCGTAAGGTGTTATAATTCGCCGCTAATTCGAAATTATCAGCATTCCCACCAGCTTTTGTTAGAAGCTCTTTTATTGTTCTGTTTAGATCAGTAATGTTATAAGCTCCTTGTGGAATTTGTAGTTTGTATTGTATATCAATAAACTCTTTTTGTGATGTTGGAGATTGTTTAACATTAACGATTAAAATTTCATCATTAATCCCAGTTTTAATATTCGGCATGGCGTTCCAGCAAGTACAAGAAATTAATCCAATCTCATACTGTTTTGCAGGATCTAGTTCTATTGGTGGGTTGTAATTTACTGTAAAATTCGCGCTGTTTCCTGTTATTTGTGATGAATCAAGCAATAATGTTGTTTGCATTATACTAATATTTTAGATAAGATCGCGGTGTAAAATTTCATACTCGGATGATGTTAGTAATCCACTCGATCTTAGATGATCAAGTATATCAATAATTTCGTTATCAATCTCTACACTTTCATTACCAGCTTCTTTAGAGGATATCAACAGCATTAGCCGATCGACTATGTCTGCGTTTGATGTAAAAACTTTAACTCCACCTCCAGTTCTTTCTTCCGGTAATCTTTTATCTCGCTTTTTTTCATATTTTTTGAGTAGTCTTATAAAATTCCAACTTTTCTTATAACCTCCTGGTTTATTTCGGTATTGTTTTGCTGTTTTTAGTAAAATTTCAGCCATAATTCCTTCTCTAATATGATCAACTAATGTTGGAATATTTCTTTCATCTTTTTCATCTTTAATATCATCATCAGCACGTGAGCCATCTTCTACAATTCTTTCTAATTTTTCTATCAAATTATCATAGTTTTCTTTTGGCCAATCTCGAATACTATTAATATCAATGATATTATTATTTTTCATAAACTCTTCATACTCAACATCTTCTATTTTAAACCTAGCTTTCTTTCTATAAAATATGATAGTATCCTCAAGAGGCATTATTTTTATCATACTTTCTTGTAAGGTTTTTTGTTTCTCAGCTAATTCCTCAGTTTGTTCTGACACTTTTTCTATTAACCTCCTTAACTCGTCGGGATTAACCGTCAATCTTGTTATTGCGTGTTGAAGTTCAAGAGGATTGTTCATTAGCCTGTCAAACTCAGCTTGTCGTGCAGCAGGATCAGCAATGTTTCTTACAAGTTCGTTTACAATTTTTACAGTTTCTTCTTTTGATCTTTCTCCAAGTAAACCAAACAAACCCTTTTCTTTCATTTTTGCTAGTTCTTCTGGAGATAATGTTTGTATTTCTGGCTGCTTGCCAAGCATCGCCTCAGTAACAGGTTTGAAAAATTTGGTTCTTTCTTCTTCTGCTTGAACTTGTCCACGTCGAGCTTCTTCCACCTTTTTCTTAAAAGCCGCACGAGTTTCGAGAAACTTTTTTAGTAATTCGATTTTCTGTTGATGTTTGTCCATTATTTTTATACGCTTTACAAAATTATATCATAGAAACGTCTCAAGACAACAACGAAACATCTTGGTTGGATCACGCGCTAGCTTGTCAAATAAAAAGAAACTATATCTATCTTTAGTTGCTCGATGATATAATTCGATAAATCTATCTTTTGTAACATCACCACATTGTTCGTTTGCAATATTTCTCACATCCACATTATCTAGTCCGGGAAATAATATGAAACAACCCGTATTTCGCCTAATAAACCTATCAACATTATAAAAACCTTGGGCAAGATAAACAGAATTACATCTTTTATTACGTGATAGTGAAAAATATGATCTAATCTTGTTCATTTCCTCATTGTTTAGCGGAATATCATCAAAGACGATTATCTTCTGCTCTGACGAATCGAGTTCATTCACTGGAACGAGTTCTTCTGGTTGTTTTATCAAAAATATATCATCACCAATGCCAAGTTCATCACGAAGTTTATCATTATACTCGTTTAATAATTTGTATTTGTCTTGTTGGGGGTTGATGGTGTAAATATACACCTTATCATAGTTAAAGTTATTATTGAGTAAAAGATTTAATAACAAATTTGTTTTACCAGATCCAGTTCGCCCAACAATAAGATAATGACAGTCTGGAAGTTCATTGTTATGTTTATGCTTCACCAATCGCTCGGTGTCAAAGTTTATTATCTTCGCCATCGTATAATTTTATGTTATATTAAACCAACAATTTTGTGTAGAACGGTATGTATAATGAGCTACTATACAAAATTTGGAACATTAGCAGTAGATTTATTAACAGAAGGTTACCAGGGTGACTTATCCAAGTATGCGACTCTTGATAAGCTCAAAAATGAAATCAACAATTTGTTAAACGTTGCAAGTGTAGATCCAAATGAAGTTGTAGTTTTCCAGGACAAACAAGGACGATTAAAGACGAGTAATGTACAACTATCAGATGTACTAGTACGAAATCCTACTGCAGTTGCTAATAATATTGTTACTTTTAACAATCAAGGTAAGATAGAAGATTCGGGTAGGTCAGTTAACGATTATGTTAGAAAAGCAGGTGATTTATTTACGGGAAACATTGCTATGAACCAGAATAAGATCACATACCTTGGAAACCCAACTGAGGATAATGACGCTGCTACTAAGAAATATGTTGATGATCAGGAATCAAAGTACGTGTCGGCGCATGGCGGTATAATGCGTGCATTTCTCAACATGAACAATAATGGCATCAATAATCTTAGAACACCAGAATCTGATTTTGATGCTGTAACAAAGAAATATGTTGATGATATCAACAATGAAATCACCAAGTTCAAAACTGATTTTACTAATCACATCACCACGTTTTTAAATTTTCGCAGAAACATAAACAAAACCAATAACGAATTTTTTGGAAGTCCGCCATCTGTTGATATTACACTCGATAATATTAACACAAAACTCAACGATATTATTAGTGGAATTCCTAGTATTGTTGAGAAAACGAGTATGATTAAAATTCCTCACAAGCAGATTAAAAATATTGTCTATACTGTTGCTTCTGGAATGTCTACTTGGTCGCCGCAAAATAACACTCTCAAACATACTGCAGAGGTCACTGGTGTGTATAGATTGTCCGTGTTGAGCAGTGCAAAGTTTAATATATTTACATTATTTCCATGGCGTCACTCGACTGATAATTTCTCTGGAACTGTGTCTATTGTGTTAAACAAAGATGTTGAAGAAACTTTTATGCTAATAGCAGATGACAAAAAATTAACTGCTGTGTCATATTGGTATTGTCTGGAATTTGTGGCTGAAACACCTCAACTAGTTACTTAATCAAGCCTGAGATTATGTGAACAAATATTATAATGAAAAAAAGTATAGTTGATTTCAATCATATTTCAAAAGATATTCCAGGACAGGATGTTGACGCACTAATACAATACTACAAATATTATCATAAAAAACTTTGGTGCGTTAAAAAATGTTACAAATATTATAACAAAATACTTCGAGTAATATCATATCTACCCTTGTTAATGACTAGTTCTGGCATAATTTCAAGTGGTATATCATTAAACCCGTTTTTGTTAATCATATCCGGTGTTGGTGTTTCTCTTACAGCAGCTTGTAAAAAAGTTGAACCTAAAATTTCGATAAAAAAGCACGGCTGCTTAACATCAATTATAACTTACAAAAAACTACTTGATCAAATAAGATCTTACCTACGAGGAGTAAAATATAGTATGGACGATTTAATACGTGAATTTCGTATTATTGACAACATGTTAACAGATATTCTTCCCATGAGGATCAGCAAATATGAGAAAGATTATCAAAAGAAGTATGATATAACATAAAATTTTATATAATATCACTTACCTTACTGGAATTCTAATGCGTAATTTAGTCCACAATCGCCACGCTCTGCTAAATCGTAATGATTTGGAAAATTGAGTCTGACATATCATTCTGCTTATTCTGGAAGATCACGTAATTAAATTTTACCTGTTACCTAGGTATTTTGCAACAGGTGTTCTATTGTATTTGTTTGGAGGTCTAGAGGGGGTTGTTGAGCTCGGATTCTTAGCGCAATTATTGATTGCAACAGGTGTTTTATTACGTTACCTAGGTATTTTGTATTTGTTGAGCTCGGATTCTTAACGCAATTATTGATTGCAATAGGTTTTCTATTACGTTGCCTAGGTATTTTGTATTTGTTTGGAGGTCTGGAGGGGGTTGTTGAGCTCGGATTCTTACTTTCTCCTACTACTGTGTTTCAAACTATTTTGATTCTGTCACTGGAAGTTTGATTAAGAAAATCACTTCTGTTGTAAGTTGTGTTGTGGTAACAAAATGAGAAATATATATTTAAAATTTCATCTAACCCCTTCCTAGCGGTCTAACTTGAATAAAACATTGGGTCAGAAAATGATACCAGTACACACCTAATTTGTACAAATTCACATACTTTTGTGGATATAAAACATGCTTTGTGCAGTATGCAATTTTTATTCAACTTTTATCTTTAAAAGTGCATTTCATGAGATAAATCGCGCTGCCAGTGGCAGTATCACAGCTCTTCATACAACCTCCAGATTGAGGAAGGCAAATGTTAAAATAGCTGGATACTTTGGTTCGACATGAATGGCTGTTAACCTAGTTTGATTGGTTCATTTGGCCCAGGATTGCTCCAATGGCCTAGTGGTTAGAGCATCCACCTCGGATGTGGGAGGTCGAGGGTTTGATCCCTGGTTGAGTCATACCAAAGACTTGCAAAAATGGTGCTAACAGCTTCCTCTCTTGGCGCTCAGCATTAAGAGGCTAGTGTCAGGACTGGTCAGCCTGGTGTCAAGATAATGTGACTAACCCAGTGTTGATCTGACCGTGATTAGCTACAGAGTTTGCCTATATATGATCAGATGGTGGATCGAGAATCAGATCGCTGACACATAATCAGATGGTGGATAAAGAATCAGATCGCAGATCTATAATCATACCGCGGACACAGATTTATATAGCAGACACAGATTTATATAGCATACACAGATTCAGATCGCCGAATTCATCTGGTGACGATAAAGAAGTCAAGAAATGAAGCATATAAAATGATTCAAAATTGAATGAAATGTGTGTCCAATCTAGTATGGTGACAGGCCATAGAACACAATTAATTTGACTATATTGTCTCTACATTTGTTTCTCAGTACTGAACTTTCCACTGTGTGACAATCAATACAAATCATATGTTAATCTAAAATACCTTCAAAGATGACTTTACGGTTTAGTTCTTGTCATGGGTTAACCTGCATTTTTTTGAGAGGCTGAATTGTAAACAAAACACCAGGCAACGGAACAGAGATTTCACTTCCGGATCATCACCATGACCTTATTACTCAATGTGCATTGTCGCCGAAATACACAGAGACAACCACACCACAAGCTCACATTTTAAAGAATAAACAATTGCCTTTAAATCCTTACCAAGAATGCCAAAATCTGACTCTAGTATCACCACCAAACTTAGACAGGAAAAAGTGATCTAAAAATAGACTGGGACTACATTCGTGGGTACTGAACTGGATTTTATTAATTGTGTACTGATTCCTGAAAGGGTCAATGTTTTTGTAAAACTTTTATATTTGCATTTTATTTTGCATGCCACAACTATTTCAACTTCATACATAAACTTCCCAACGTTTAATTCAACATCTACTTTATATCTCGTTTATTTAATAAATGAAATATGTACACAGGGCAATAACGAACGCTACTTTACCGCTATGGAGGATCGCGCGTACATATGGTGATTTTCATTAAATCAGAACAAAACTATCGAAGAGAATTTTGTGCAATGTAATTTTGTAGCAAATGAAGCAGAACGAAATATTGATATTAGGGAAGAACTGATGCAATATATCAATGAAAATTAAAGACATCAATGTGACGGAATAATTCAGTCGTAGCACATAGTCGATGAAGTTGTAAAGCCTTTTCCTAATATGTTAAAATTGTTACAGTTTTCTCATCTAAACTTTAAGGAAGTTTATTAAAGTTGACAAATACGTTTTAAAGCTGAGCTAGTCTAGAAATAGGTGTACGAATTAATGTCCAAATATACATGGCATTTGTAATGGATTATTTAATAATTGTTCTCTTTCTGAATAAAAATTCGCATTTGTAATTTATTATATATAGTGGAAGCGAAAAATATTATAATCGCTTTATTTTTCATATGTATCAAAGGCCATCGATAACTTATTTGAAATCTTCCTCTACTTCACAGATACTTGGATGTTATTTTTGCCACAAACTTATATATATATATATATATATATATATATATATATATATATATATATATATATATATATATATATATATATAATTTTTTTATATGATCAATGTTTTGATGTGCGTGATGTCCTTGTCGTTTTCTCTTTTTTTTATGTAAAATGGCTCAATTCTGAAAAATAAATAGTAGGAACAGGAAAAAATGTACAAATCCATTTCCTTAATTAAGGCAAAGAATATTCCTTACTTTTTAATGTATTTTCACCTTAAATCGGACAATAAGTAGATACATATCTAAAAATAGCAAATTTTCGAAGCTAAATTAGTGCTGGAATTGCTACTGTTATTTCCTTAGTTACACTACTTAAATTTACTTGCATGTGATTTTCGTATCCATGTCATGCCTGGACTGACATCTATTCAGGTCATGTTTCTTAGAGAGCACAATCGCATAGCATTCATTCTTGAAAAACTGAATCCTCTATGGAATGACGAGGATATTTATTCAGAAGCAAGAAAGATTGTGATTGGTCAGATTCAACATATTACTTATGCATATTGGCTGCCCTATATACTTGGTCCAGATCGAATTCTCCAATATGGTCTCAGACCATTTAAATAAGGATATGCCAATGTTTATGATGCTGAAATTGACCCCACCATCGCCAATGAATTTGCAGTTGCCCCATTTCGCTTCGCGCACACTCTTCTGCAGGATACAGTTCCTTACCTGACTGAGAAGGCTGCACTTACGTTTAGGTGTGAAGATATGTTCAACAAACCGACTCTGGCATTTTAACGGGGGTAGGGGTGTCTCTTACGTAGGTTTGGGGTTATCGCATGCACCACTAAGTAAAGCAGACGAGAAAGTAGTGACCGCTGTACGAGACAACCTTTTCAAAGATATGGATGACCGTAGCCTGGACCTTATATCCCTAAACATTCAGAGAAGTCGTGATCATGGTGTGCCTGGTTACAACGCGTGGAGGGTGTGCCTGGTTACAACGCGTGGAGGGTGTGCCTGGTTACAACGCGTGGAGGTTGTGCCTGGTTACAACGCGTGGAGAAAGTTTTGTGGACTTTCTTATGCATTCCATTTTGGTACGGGCCCTGGAGGACTGGTAGATCACTGTAAAAAGAAATGCTAAAAAACTACAACAGGTGAACAGGTAAACTTTTCCAAAATGAATGTTATTCCGAAATATAATTTAATCCAGTTGGGTAGATTATCATTCAACGTTATTGTTTTGCTTTGTCTTTGTCAAAGTATGATTCTAAAAAAACTTCGAAATTCCATTGTGATAAAACTGGCACTGATCAAGCCGATCCTAAGAAAATAAGAGTTGAAACCACATTCATGGCTTTAATGTCTAGGCTTTCAATAAGTGTAATAGGCTGTCCATGATGTCAGATCATGGCGTTAATGTTTAGGCTTACAGTAATTGTAATACACTGTCAACGATGTCACATCATGTCTTAATGTCTAAACTTACAATATGTTTAATAGGCTGTCCACGATGTGACATCATGGCTTTAATGTCTAAACTTACAATATTTTTAATAGGCTGTGCACGATGTCACATCATGGCTTTAATGTCTAGACTTACAATAAATTTAATAGGCTCTCGGCACACGGGATTTACCCCCAGGTAAATTCATAATGAACAATGCAAACACAACATACACGCATGTGTAATCATATGTGCATTGTTGTATTTCAATGGTTGTAAACTGAAAACATCGTAATAACACAAAGCACCGAACATCTAAAAAATCATCAGCAGTCATCGAGCATAAGAAGATAGATATTACAATTTTTCATTCGAGATGTTCATCTTCCTTATGTATCTATTTTATTTTGATACGCATTACAGGCATCCAGATGGCATTGATCTTTTCCCAGGCGGTCTGTCAGAGACTCCCAGGTCAGGTGGTGTCGTAGGGCCATTGTTTAGCTGTATTATTGCGCAACAATTTTCCAATCTGAAAAGAGAGGGCAGATTTTACTACGAAAATGGATTTAAAGACACAGGATTTACCCCAGGTAAATTCATGTTGAACCATGCAGACACGAAACGAACGCATGCGTGAACCCAAAACTTCGTAATAGCACAACACTCTTTGCTTATATTGCTAAAAAAATTAAAATTAAAACAAAATATGACATTTGCCGGCTAGACCAACGATTTCAACTCAAGTAGGTAAACAAGTCGAATGAAATCTAAATAACTATGAATAAACAGTGACGGCTATTAAATGACACGATGCCTCAGACTACATCTTACAAGAAACAAATCCCAAGGTAAAATAAGACCGTGTGATACAATCATTGGAGCTTTATTTACTTAAACCACTGCATAAAAATATAATTAAAATTACTTACCATGCCTGAGTAACAAGCGTTGATTTTAATTTAATATTTGCTTACAAAGCCTTAGTAACAAGAGATGAGATTGGTTTAGATCTTTGCTTACCAAGCCTTAGTAACAAGCTTTGAGATTGGTTTAAATATTTGCTTACCAAGCATGAGTAACAAGCGTTGATCTTTGCTTACCAAGCATGAGTAACAAGCGTTAATATTAATCATATGTTGCTTACCAAGCCTTAGTAACAAGCGTTGAGATTGGTTTAAATCTTTGCTTACTAAGCCTTAGTAACAAGCGTTGAGATTGGTTTAAATCTTTGCTTACTAAACTTTAGTAACAAGCGTAGAGATTGGTTTAAATCTTAGCATATAACTCAGATGACTTAGCAGCGATACTTTTACTGACAGCAAACAAAACATTAAAATATGTTTGAACTAGGTGAGCACCCATTTTTGAAATTTTGTTTATATCAGGGTACATAGAGTAAATAATTTTTAATAACTTTAAAGACGACCTATTCCATACGATTCCCTTAGATTTTTGTAGACATTCGGATTACCTTGGTTTTTAAAAATCTTCATCACAAGAAGAATGCGTAGGGTGAATGGAAAGAAATGTTTTACTTCATTTCAGCTCAATTGGACAGCATTAAGACAACAAGTTTGCCTCGACTAATGTGTACGCACTTCCACCTAAACCGGCTTCAGGTAGATCCCTTCAGACTGCCTAGTATTGAGTGAGTATACTATTTACTAGGATCTCTACTGTAGCCAGTCAATTTAGATTTAAATATGATTCACATTAAAATTTGAATTTATATAGTATATTTACAAGTTCTTCTCTCCAACCTGTTTTATTCTTTTTACAGTGTTTTCAGAACTCTTTATACATGTATAAGGATAAAAAAAAAATTCGAAGTATTAATCGTTTCTCATGTATAATCAGGATCATAAAATAAGAGTTCGGATAAGTATGTTTATATTGTCATTGCCATGATGCTTTCCGCTAAAAAATATCGTTATTAACGATGGAACATCATAATTGCAATATTTTTATCACATATATGATAATTGCTTTATGATAATCTCTAGTGTAAGCATTCA